TATAGTTAATTTTGAACGAACGAGTTGTAGTGGATAGTAATGGAAAAGCATCATGAAGTGTTCGTCACACACGTGCCTTCTTCAACAGTGTTTCAAAGCATCCCAAGATGCATTTCATGAGGTTGAGGCTGATGGTGAATGAGAGAGCAGAGCTGCAATCTACACAAATCGCATGTTTATCTTTCATGGTCACAACAAAATTCTCATACTTTCATTTGTTATTGCATAGTTTTGATTAATGCAAAAACACATGAATTTTGTCATGTGACCAAACAATGGTCAAATAAACACCAGGGTTAAGGATGTCTTGGACAGACAGAGCCGCTGCACAATAATCCAAACATCAGCACTTTAAGAGACTCGTCTGCTCTGAACTACTGGCTCTCTTAATTAGGAAGCGGCCATTTATTACCCAGGAGATCAATTGGAGGAACACAGTCGTTAATATACTCACTGCTTCCCTCGTCCTTGAGACAAAAGCCAATTAAAGGCGGTGCAGACGAGAGGCAGCAGCGCGCAGATGTGTGCTGAACAGCCATCAGGACAAGCTTTTAGAACCACAGGAGATTCTCTCGCAGTAAGAAGGGCTCATTAGCATAACGCTTCGCCACTCACTACTACCAAAGTCCCAAAGAATCCTTCTGAAAGCGTCTTCAAAACACTGAGAACTGAGCTGCGGCTTGAATTTCAAGTTAAAACCCAGCTAACAGCAAACGTTCTCACAGCGCTTTTTAAACGTTATATAAATGTTAGGACAAAACATTGTTAAAGTCTCATAATGTTTAGACAAAACGTTTTTAGATCAATATTCTCAAAATGTTATTTGTCCTTGATGGACGTTTTTTTGGAACCATTAAATAACATTATAATCATGAGAAGAAAACTGGACCTTTTAACGTTCTTAGAATATGTTCTCAGGAATTTTAAGTATGTTCATTGCTGATGAAAATGTGTTTTAAATATATATATGTATATATTATATATATACCCACTGTAAATATATATACAGTGGGTATAGAAAAGAATGACCCCCTTTAAAATAATCACATTTGTTGCTTTGCAGCCGGACACAGTTTTTGTTTTATTCTGTTATTTCAGTGATTCTGGTTTTTTATTTTTTTCTGACATGTTGGTGTTATATCTTTCACTTGGATGTCATCAGTTGCACTGAGTACATACAGCTGGATAAAACAAAAACTGTGTCCGTCTTCATTTCAGGCTGCAAAGCAACAAAATGTGATTATTTTAAAAGGGGGGTGATTCTTTTCTATACCCACTAAATATATACACTGAACAAAATTATAAACGCAACACTTTTGTTTTTGCCCCCATTTGTCATGAGCTGAACTCAAAGATCTAAGACTTTTTCTATGTACACAAAAGGCCTATTTCTCTCAAATATTGTTCACAAATCTGTCTAAACCTGTGTTAGTGAGCACTTCTCCTTTGCCGAGATAATCCATCCACCTCACAGGTGTGGCATATCAAGATGCTGATTAGACAGCATGATTATTGCACAGGTGTGCCTTAGGCTGGCCACAATAAAAGGCCACTCTAAAATGTGCAGTTTTACTGTATTGGGGGGTCCGGGGGGGTCCGAAAACCAGTCAGTATCTGGTGTGACCACCATTTGCCTCACGCAGTGCAACACATCTCCTTCGCATAGAGTTGATCAGGTTGTTGATTGTGGCCTGTGAAATGTTGGTCCACTCCTCTTCAATGGCTGTGCGAAATTGCTGGATATTGGCAGGAACTGGAACACACTGTCGTATACGCCGATCCAGAGCATCCCAAACAAACTCCGGTGAGTATGCTGACCATGCAAGAACTGGGATGTTTTCAGCTTCCAGGAATCGTGTACAGATCCTTGCAACATGGGGCCATGCATTATCATGCTGCAACACGAGGTGATGGTCGTGGATGAATGGCACAACAATGGGCCTCAGGATCTCGTCAAGGTATCTCTATGCATTCAAAATGCCATCAATAAAATGCA